GGAAGTCCGAGGAGAATTCATTGCATACATAAGACGATGTTGTCTTTAATCGCTTACTATTTATTACAAATATCGAATCCTAATTTTAAATTCTCGGATTATCCACTATCCGCGTCTTTTTCCGTCATTTTTATCTCAGAAAGTGCTATACGTCTAATTCTTCTTAACGTTTATCAACTTGTACATCAAGCGCTCAATGTTCGCGTGTGACCTTTGACATCACGCGTGCAGAAATTCTTAATCGTCGGGCTGTTCATTAGGGGAACCCTTACATTTTTGTCCTGTATACGCTCCGTGAGTTTTTTCGGGGAATCCAGTATTTCTCTAGTAAGATTGGATATCTCTACTTTCCTTATATACCAAAATTGCCATACTTTTATTGGATATAACCACCCGATAAATACTTTTCTGGGAACCCATCTTTAAATGATATGAAAAATTAAATTAATACTGCCAAATCAATACTATATAGAAGGTTCATAAACAAAGTTAATTCCAATACTAATAAAATTTGATGGCGTTATATTGAGAATGTAAGGTTGGGTTTTTTTTTATTTGGTTTCAATATTTACTAACTACTTCTCCAAGGATTTTCCAGTCTCTGAAAAATATAAAAGGGGTGATTATAAGTACACATATAGAAGATTGAGCGTCGATTTGTTTTTTTTTAAAACTTGGCATACCAGGTACACGTGTGTGTGTCGTAATCAGTCATGAATTCGGAGGAGTTATTTAAAAGGCAGAATAAACGTAAAATACCGAGTCTAGGTGGGGAAATGAAAAGAGCATGATTTAACACAAGATGTCATTTTGAGAATAACATGAATGGCTACATATGAATGCAGGTGCAAGGGAAAGTATTTTAGTCAGGTAGCATTATATCCACTCCTGTTTCAAATTCAGATTGCTATGGAATCTTTTACATTCATCACTAATTTGCACATTGAAGTGAATGGCCACTTTGATGCCAGTCTCACAAGAGTTGTGGGAGTCTAGAACAAAAGAAACCAATAGCAAGTGTATCCAGTCTGTCAATGAAATAAAATGGGTTTAACGTCCTACTGTTCTTCTCCGATTGGGCTATTGAAAACGGGCATACGCCTTACAGTGTGCTATGAGGGAATTTTTGCCCGAACCGAACAGTGGTACTACGGTCTACTCTTATATCGAATTCCAACAGCTAAGGGATATTTTATGTGCACGTCAATATGTACATGGGGCATCGGATTTTCTTCCCACCCGAACGACTAGACAGCTGTCCTTGCCAGGCCCTCCTGTGCCACTGACACACGCGATGGAAAATCCCGATGAACTTTGTCGGCCAACACCCGGAGCAAACCCGCGACCTTCAGGCTAGCGAGCTAGCGTCTTACCCACTTAGCCACTGTAGCCCCTATATCCAGTATATAGGTTCAATATATGTTTTGTACAGCTTTTACACAGTAATTTATTTGAGAACCATCTGGGACAAGTTGTTAAACTATTAAACTTAATATGGATATTAACATTCATCGAGCCCATACGCCTATGGTTCTGGTGTTGCCTATTATTTTCGAAACGGGACTTGGTGTGATCTATTAACCTCGAATCAGGTCTGGTGTTGTCTATTTACCTCGAATCGGGTCCTGATTTTGCCTATTAACCTCGAATCGAGTCTTGGTGTGCTCTATTAACCTCGAATCGGGTTTTGATGCGATCTATTAACCTCGAATCGCGTCTTGGTGTGGTCTATTAACCCAAAATCGGGTCTTGGTGTGGCCTTTTAATCTTGAAACGGGTCTTGGTGTGGTCTATGAACCGCGAAACGGGTCTTTGTGTGGTTTGTGAACCTCGCATCGGATTTTGGTGTGGTCTATTAACCTCGAATCGGATTTTGGTGTGGTCTATTAACCTCGAATCGGATCTTGATGTGGTCTATTAACCTTGATATATGTAACCGGGTTAATTTGTGACACGATCAATTTATTATAATCACAATAAGCACATAACTGATTTATGACCTGATATTGATTGGATTTAAGGGAATTCACCACATTTCTCCATAACTTCATTACCTGTGTGCTAATGCCGAAGAAGGTTCTGATCTTTGGGAATAAACAGAAATAGACTTGGCAAGGGCTCAATTTTACTAATAGTAATAGTAACTAGTAACTACAGGAGAACGGCAGTACATGCTAAACAAAACCGACCAGACAAACCTGCTGAAAAGACAAACTACATAGACATTGCAAGAAAAAATAAAACAAATATTAAATCAAGCGAATGGATCCGGGGGTCAGCCATAAGCGTCAACTGCACTCGACAGTAATGATACAGGCTTCATAATTAAGATATTTCCAATTAAAAAATAATATATGTTGCCGAGAAACAAATGTACACATGAACTGACAATTCATTGAATAGTTTGAGTGTAATTACTGTGGTGCATTATAACACCCTGTAACAAATTGATTGAATACAGCACAACCACCTTACCCCATGATAATACCCTTTGAACTCAGCCCCCCGGGTTCACCACTGCTAAAGACCCCTACGACAAAGCGAATTATTGAAATTATGAAATGACTTAGTCTGTGTCGAGTGGGCGTGTTTAAAAACTCTTATTTTTTTTATTGAAGAAATGTCTCATAGCTGGACTGCGTCAAAAATGATTGATGTTAAAAGACAGTAGTAGCTAGCAGATTATATACTCTTCAAAAAAAGTGGGGGATATTGAAATGCAAAAACATATGCAGGTTGTGATATGATAAATAGTCATGGACACTTGATATGCTTTGAGAGTATGTTCACAGATGAAGAACCACTGAGCTGCATGCGCGACACGCAATGGCACCATACACGTGGGAGGGGTTCGTTGTCAAATTTGACACTTCAAGGAAGGGTTGATCAAAACTGCCGCTTGCTGTTTTATCCTATCCATATTTGCTTTCCTATCGGTTCTTGCATACGATTTACTGTTTAGCGTATCTTAGCTTTAGTGTGTTACGTTTAATTTGATCGGGAGACGTGTTCGTCGACGTCAACGTCAACCGACAACACTGCAAGAATTGGCCGTGGCACTGCAAGAGGAGTTGGTTAGATTGCCCCAAATCGTGATAGGGCGGTTGATTAGGAGCATGCCACGACGAATTGCTGAATGTCTGAGGATTGGTGGAGCTATTTCTTATTATTAAGACAAAATTCAAAAACGTCCTTTTTCACTTTTGACAGTGTATCTCTTTGTGAGTGAAATGGGGCCGTCAGATAAGCCGCCCAAATGAACTGTTTATGTTCATGTGTAGGCAATCGGCCTGTTATTAACATACACAATATGCACAGCCCGCCAAGCCTATAGGTAAATCCGATACTGCATATCATAGTATCTAATTGAACTATTACCGCAACCGTAAAAATACACTACTTTGTTTCACGGTAAATGATGAAAAGACAAATGGTATGCGGACACAAACCGATTTCAACACCGGTTAAAAAACAATTTAACTTTTTAAAGTACCTTTTCGCTAATCTGGGCTACACGTCAGAAATAATATCATTGTTCAGAGATGGACAAAATACAACAATTTATACACATTTACATAGTTACATGGAATATAGGTAACTAACTGGGGACATGTATACATAGGCGTTAATCTTTGTATAAGTAACTAACCAAGGACATTTTACAAGGGTGTATATTTATAATAATATGTAGAAATATATTTTACCGTCTGTTGGGGGGCTGCACTACCCGTACAACACCGAATAAACAGCTAGTGTATAATAAACATGTGTTCCATATATATATTTTTTTTTTAGTTTTATTTATTTAATAGATACAATACCCTGTTCACACGAGCCAGTTGAAGTGGTTATATAAAGAAAAATAAAGTTGGGGCAAATAAACTAGTTTTAAAAACCCAGCTCTCTACCTGTCTTCTAGAACGCTTTTCTTAAAAGTTGTTTTATCTTGTACGCCTGAACAGGTGTCCTAAAATCGCTTGGGCAGAAGTGGTAAGCCAATGTCCCAGCAAAATGAGTAATTAACCTTAATCGTGAATCGACAAGACTAAATATTAAAACCGTGTTGGCTTGTATATGTGAACGTATATGTTTGAACTAGTGTACATTGAACTGGCTATTACACATTAACAAGTTCATGCATTCACGTTCTTAAATAACTATTCAGAAAACTATATATTGAGAAGATCTGTTTTCCGGATAAATATGCTTCTCAGGCAGTCTGGTGTATGTATTATTGGAAGAAACCTTATACCATAGATTTATGCAGGCCAATTTGAATTCACTGATCGTCATTTGCATTTTCGGAGGATTGGGTGACCGAATGGTTACAGAGTGTGCGTTGTATCAGGTCTGTCATTCAGTCAAGTGGCGTGGTTTTGATTCCCCGATTGCTGACTTATCCTCGTGGGTTTTCTCCGGTTCCTCCGCATTCCTCCTACTGCTAAAGACCCCTACGCGCAATCGATTTATTGAAATAAGTTTGAACCATATGTTATTGTTAGTCCCGAAATGGCCTAGTTTGTGTCGAATGGACGTTAAACCCCATTTCTTTCTCTCCATTTGCATTTTCGGGAAATATTAAGTCCTCCATGGCTAAATCTACGCTAAAATTTACTATTCAACATGTAATGTAAAACACAAAATCAAAGGTCGATATTCTCCGGACATGGATTCAAATGTCCAAAAACCAAAATTAAAGATGGCGGCGGCTTGTTTATAAGGTTTATAGATGAAAAGACCTTTCTCTGCGATACAATTCTAAGTTGAGATATTATTTTCTATAAGTTTGATTCTTTAAAAAAAAAAAACCTAGGTGACGTGTACACATTGGTGTGCACGTAAAAGAGATGAAATTCGAACTAATTGTTGTCCGGATAAAATCTCCCTTATATCACATTGCATGCCGTATACCCATTTAATTCAGTTGGCGCAGAACAGTAGAACGTTAAACCTCATTGTAATTCATTTTTTATTCATTGTTTATGTCATTATATTTTCAGAATACATCGCCATTAGAAAAACAGTTTTACGATAGTACAGTAATATGGCCTGGAGTTGAGGAATGTGAACAGCATTATTCTTTAATGAACTCTGTTTGTGAAGCCGGCGTCGAATCTTCAGGAATCTGTGAATTTTTATATCGTGCCTTTACCATCATTAGCACAACGTGTAAGTACTGACAATGTCTGGGTAATTTTATTTCAAACGAAGAGACGTCCACATTTTCTTTGCATTATTTGGATTTTAAGGGGTAGTTGCAGATTCCATAGGGCTCTGTAAATGGAATTTAGTATATAAATTAGAGGAATCTCAGTAAGTAAGTGGGTCTGGTGGTCGATCCCGGTGTTGTCAGTGTAGTGTTTTAGGACAGATGGCCTGCCAGGTAACAATGTATAATCTTTCGTATGGGATGAAAAACCATGTAAATTATCCCTCAATCTGTGACGATTCCTCAGTCGTTCAAGATCAGACGCAGTCCCTCATGACCAGATCAGTCCTCTATGACTAGTCTCAGTCCGTCATGACTAGACTCAGCCCATCATGATTAGGCGCAGCCCTGTCGACCGCAGCTGGACGAACTTTGGTGGAAACCATGGGGTCCAAATTCTGTGCTCGTAAATTTCTGATTTAAACAACATAATGAATGTGTGATGAATTCTACAAGAATGAGAAATATCCCAGAGTCTCTCAAGAAAAAGCAAGCATAGCATTATTCAATTTATTTTCCACAGATTGTATATTAATGATGCATTATGTAAATCCAAAAATAAAATGAAAAATTAAATGAATACATTGAACATTTCAGTCAAATTACATTATCTGAGCCAATTTACGATCGTTCTAAGCTTTAATAAGATCTAACGTAGATTGTTAGAACGGTGCGTGACATTCGACAATAAGTCTCGATTCTCCACTATATCGTAAAAGTTTTAAGTCTTGAATCTTGGCCAACCTGTGATGTAGAGAGTGGATTATGAGTTTGTCATGTTAACAAATCTCTCAATAATAGTTTATATAATATATGAAGCCAGATTTAGCATAAATAAAATAAAACCAAGTACGAACAATCCAAACCATTAGACAAAATTCGAAGTCCTAAAAAACGGTATAGGCAAAATAGTGTAATAAGGCAAAATAGTGTAATCAGCATAATGCATCTTTAATTAATCGAACAAAGAAGGTGAACACTGATCATATATAAACCTTATTCAGTCATTTCCACATGACTAAATGTTGTAAGTTTATCAGAAATCGTGTGATTTTAAACTATTATTTGTCAGCATTTTCTCGAAAGGTTATATATGTTTGATATTTAGCAAACAATTTGAATCATTTGAATCTAAAAATCGATATTTTATTATATAATAAAAAATCAATAACTAAATGTAAATTTATAACAAATAATCACCCATGCATATAAAAATGATAATCTTTTTGATTGCTATTACAGAGTAATTAGCATGTAGAAAACAGCTCCAAATGTTTTTATTAAATCTTAATGTATTCCAATATCCATAAACAGTAATCATTTTTATTCCTATTATCATAACCATAGCAAGTAATTAGCATGTAAAAAAACGGCTCGAAATATATATTCCAATATCCAGAAATATCCTATTCAAAACCTTACGCCATTAGCAATCTCTATTTAGAAACAAAAAAAAATATTTAGTTGGTTAGTTCTGCGAATATATTCTTTGAATGACATTTATTAATTGGTACATAATCACTTAAACACTCTATATTTATAGATAACAATTACTTTTTTTTATTACAATATACATGTATCAAGGTATTACGATTGTTTCAGACTATTGTGGAATATACCCACTTAATTGGAGCATATACCCGTAATACATTAATGTATATCTTAAACATGCAAGCACTAAATCTGCCTGTTGTAGTTCTTTCTTTGGTCCTTAAATTAATATGTAGTTAACTTATCAAGAACATAACCAACTCTGGATGCCATCGTTAGCCTGTGGTATTTAGTGGATTTGAATACGTTTTGTGATGGATGATTTAAAGTAAAAATGGATATTATCGTACCAACATAGTAATGACGATCGAGGCTAGCCTAAAATTGAATCGCTAATATTTCGGTTCAATGTGAAGCAATTTGACTGGAAGTTTCAGCATACTCTGTTTTCATTATCTATTTTTTAACTATTATACCGAACACTGTCAGCTCTTTATCTAATCTTACCTTATGCCCCTTTAAGATATCAATATATTAGTTTGTTTCAAACCTTAGTGCGGTTAATAGTAGAGCATACGCCCATAATATACTCTTCAAAAAAGTAGGGGATATTCAGAAACAATACAAAACTGCGGAAATGCACTGCTGTTTTTATTAGAGGTAACCAGTGTATGTTAATAACAGGCCAATTGCCTACACATGAACATAAACAGTTCATATGGGCGGCTAATCTGACGGCCCCATTTCACTCACAAAGAGAAACACCGTCAAAAGTGAAAATGAATGTTTTTGATTTTTGTCTTAATAATGAGTAATTGCTCCACCAATCCTCAGACATTCAGCAATTCGTCGTGGCATGCTCCTAATCAACCATCCAATCACGATTTGGGGCAATCTGACCCACTCCCCTTGCAGTGCCACGGCCAATTCTTGCAGGGTTGACGTTGACGTCGACGAACACGTCTCCCGTTCAAATTAACCGTAACACACTAAAGCAAAGATACGCTAAACAGTAAATCTTATGCAAGAACCGATAGGAAAGCAAACATGGATAGATAAACCAGCACGCGGCAGTTTTCATCAACCCTTCCTTGAAGAGTCAAATTTGACAATGAACCCCTACCACGTATATGGCGCTATTGCGCGTCGCATGTGCAGCTCAGTGGTTCTGTTGGAGCGATAAAGAGAGAGAAAGAGAGAAATGGGGTTTAACGTCCACTCGACACAAATAGGTCATTTCGGGACTAACATATGGTTGTTTTTTTTATTTTTATTTGAATAATTTGCTTGCGCGTAGGGGTCTTTAGCAGTGGGAGGAAACCGGAGGACCCGGAGAAAACCCACGAGGTTGGACAGGCGTTGGAGCGATAAGTTCTTCATCTGTGAACATACTCGTAAGGCATGTCAAGTGTCTATGACTATTTATCATATCACAACCTGCATAGGTATTTGCATTTCAATATCCCCTACTTTTTTGGAAGAGTATATATTGATGTATATCTTAAAATATTAATGTATTCAGATTGTTTATAAATATTCAGTGACTAATATTTAAAAAATATATTTAGGCTATGAATACATTTTTAATAATCAATATGACCCGCGTAACTGTGCGGAATATTTTTGATGGTGCTTAGGCAAGAAAATTCTTGGGATTTTCCTACTTGTTGTAATTGTCATTGTTGCATGAAGGAGAGTCTGGCGTGAATTAATCTTTGACGGATTATTTGCCCGAAAAATGCAAATGACGAGCAGCGGCTGTAATATGCAAACATATACAGCCAGTGTGGGGGTTTCGCTATAAACTGTGAAGGTCCTTTGTGAAAACATTAGACTAGAAATTCAAGAAACATTTATTTACATTTTAATTATTTAATAGTATGGTTTTCAGTCAAATGTGAGGCCCCTGTGGATTGTACGGTACCTGCGGATTGTGGGGTCATTGCTGATTGTGAGGGCTTGTGGATCGTAAGATCCTTACGGATTGCGCGGTCCTTGCTGATTGTGACGCACTTGTCATTGTAAGGACTTTGCGGATTATGGCTCTGAGTAAAGAAAGATTATATTTAAGTAAAACTATCTATTTAAACAACTGTTAAAATGTATTTTTACAGGGCCAGTAACTGTATTACTGATTGTACTGTTAGCCTTACCCCTTGTCATGACAGCCATAGGTAAGTTTAACTCTGTTTATATAAAGATGGGGTCGGGGATACAAACTGGATTTAATGCCCACCCAAGGCAACGAGGACATACCGATTTAGAGGGAGTCGAGCCATAGGACACTGACCACTCAATAACAATGCCACGGCATCGAATCACGGTGTGATCCGAAAAGAATCACGGGTTCTTGTAGAGGGGTGGCGCCGGTGGCCGCTGACATGGGTGTATAATCGTTCAGATGGGACGAAAATCCGAATGGAATGACAACCGAAAAATGAAAATGGAATGAAATGGTTTTTAACGCCATACCGTTCTACTCCGACTGGGTTAATGAAGATTGGCACACATCATACAGTCTGATAGGGGGGGGGGGGACGTTTGGATTTCACCCTGAAATAACGTCGAACAAACAATGAAATGAAATGAAATTGGGTTGAACATCCAACTCTTCTGCTCCAACTGGGTTAATGAAGACGGGCATACTCCATGCAATGAGCTATGAGGGAAATTTTGCCGGGCAGCGGCACTATGGCCTACTCTTTATATTGAATTTCAATTGCCAATGTATACGACAGCTGTCCTTGTCGAACAAGCAAACGTGTGAAGCATTCTTGCCGCTTTGACATCACTCCACTATAATGTATGCATCTACATGAACAGAAACATTTTCTTAGAGCTTCTGATTTGATTAAACTCTGTGGTAATCCACCAGATCTCACGCCATGTCCTAACATTCCCCTACAGGGATGACGAACCTGAAAAGGAAAGTGTGCCTTTTGGTTCGATTGTTAGGATTTTAGTATTCACTATACCGACAAAAAACTTAACACAAATACCTCAAAATAAAGCTCTAAGATTGTCGAGGAGCTGTTAAACTCCATCAAATCTTTGCTCTCAAAAGTTTCCAGCAGTTCACTATTTATTGTTTTTTTTACTCAATAAAACCTTCCATCGAACATTACATGTTTATCTTGGCAACATGTGATGCACAGACCCAATTCCCCTGTGTCTGTTTCGCTATTAGCCAAGCACTTATTTTTTTATGATTTCATTATCAGGGAAACGGTTTCCAATAAACCTGCAGATTAGGGTTACAGTTCTAACAATAGCAAGCTGGTTTTAGTCAAGATGCTTGTCTGACTATACGCTCGCCAGAAACAATTGAAATTTAAGCTTCGTGCATCGTAGCAAGCTTATCTTTATATCGTAGAATATTATTTCTCATTACAAGTGAGCAGATTCTTAAATCGTAAAAGAACTGAATTGAAATGTTATTGAAATAAAATGGGCGGGTGGGGGGGGGCGGTTAGCGTCTTTCTATTCTAAACTAGCGAGTTTATTAAAGACGGGAAGACGTTGTACAGTGTGGTATGGGGACATTTTGCCTCGGCAGCGTCACTATGGCCTACTCTTGTATTGAGTCTCCTTTGAAACATATACGGTCGATAGAGGATGGAATACTCTTGTTTCGAATCTATATTGAAAAAAGATACTCTAGATAGAGGGGCATTATACCCTGGGTTGGACTCTCTTTTGAAACAGATCCAGTTGATAGCGCGGAGTAGTGCCCTTGGTTCAAACCTTGTTTGAAACAGTACTGAAGGGGAATAGCGCACTTAGTTCAAACCTCTTTTTAAACATATACACTGTTACAATTTTATATATATTTACAGTTATAAGTAAAAATACAATGTCGGATTTGTCAGTCACATGGTTTGTTAACTTACATATTTTCCGGCGTGGTTCCCGCTTGTCAGTGATGCAGGGCGGAGGGCCTGGCAAGGACAGTTGTTTAGTCGTTCGGATAGGTCGAAAAACCGAGGTCCCGTGTACACATTGGCGTGCACATAAAGGATCCCTTGACAGTTGGAATTCGATATAAGAGTAGGCGATAGTGTCGCTGCCCGGGCAAAATTACCCTCATAGCACACTGTATGGCGTATGCCCGTCTTCATTAGCCCAGTTCGGAGCAGAACAGTAGGACGTTAAACCCCATTTCATTTCATTTCATTTCCATATGAATACAAAGCTTATGTAAGATTACATCAAACGTAATGTAGAAATACAACCATATCTCAGTTTAGAAAATGTGAGTTGTATATTAACAGAAATTCCATTTTAGATAACCTTTTTACAGCAAATTGTAGATTTACTGTCAGGGGTCACATCGGTTATTCCCCCTTTGTTGTGTACACCATAATTTCTATTCTGTTAGTCAGTTTAGTAGTTTTTAGAGCAATAGGTTATTGAAAATATACCCAACTGGCTAATAAAGACAGGCATATGCGATACATTGTGCTGTGTGGGACATTTTGCTTGGACAGTGGTCTCCCACCTACCCTGTCCATTGTCTAATGTTGTTTCACATGCTCGGCTTGAAGTTCTATAAAATTGTCTGTGTTCGCCAGGATCGAGCCTAGGACTACTAAGCGAAGTGGGGACAGCCTCATTCCCTTTAGTAATTTTACTCGGCAAATTGCCATTTGTAGTGAGTTATAATTACATAAACTCTGTTAAATTACACAGCAAGTGTTTCTTGTTTTTACAATATTATTTTACCAATTAATGTAAATTGACTTCATTATAATTTTACATGTATTCCATTTACATATATGTAAATTTACCTTCGATGTATAATAGCTAGAGGTAAAGTTACATTACAGACTGTGAAATAACATGCAATGTTAAAATACAGTTATAAATATGGCAACATTTCTGCCAGCTTAAAAATGGTAAAAATACATAATAATTTTAACAGTGTAGACTACTGTAGGCAGACGGTAGAATCGTACAATGGTTCTCAATTGCCAGAGGATAGATATCTGGATACTCAGTCAGTAGATAGAAACGGAATGGGGTTTAATGTCTCATTAACAAAATAAGAGAGTTAATGTGGTACCTAACCTTTTCAAGCGTTCAATCTGACATTTATATAATTTTTATCTGTTTCATAACCATTACATATCTATTAAAAAGTCACAAGCTGTTGCATATACATGGTACTGATAATTAAAAATTCATGTATCCGACACCGTGCCTAGTTTATGTAACATTAACTGTGTAGAATTTTACGACCTAGTGATTTAAAACAAAAGTAGTTCTTTAGTAATTGTTCGTATAATACCGTATTGATTTTACATATTAATTGAATTTGTTTTGATTCAATTTTTTATAGTGACACATTCGTCTTTTTAAAAAAATATATTCGTTGATATGTGACGTTATAATGGAGTTTATTAATAATTGATTAATAAATAATAGGTTTTTTTTAAGATTTGTTGGTTTGTGTAACGTTATAATAAAGTTTAATATGGGCCCAGAAGAGGCTGTATATTTATTGTTACATTTTGTATAACATACAAAAACAACAGACAATGTTAAAACTCAATTCCCATTGGTACCGTATGAAATAAGATATCAAATCAGATGAAATGGGATTTAACATCCTACTTGTTCTACTTGTTCTACTCTTAACGGAATAATGAAAAGGGGCATGCGCCATACAGTGCAGATATGAAGGTTATTCTGTCTGAATTTTGTTCCTTGAGATTGTTCAGCGTTGTTCTCTCTCGTATTTCCTGACAGGGAACAGTGCCTAGTCGTTAACATGCACGTTAAGAAAACATCGTGAGTTGGAATTTGGATAAATACTAGGCACTGCTGTCCCGGAGAAATGTCCAGCAGTCCCCTGCAATGGGGAGTCACGGTGGCTAAGTGAGTGAGACGCTGGCTCGCTAGCTTGGAGGTCGCGGGTTCACTCTCGATACATGTTCGATACCTGCATTGGCCGAGAAAGTTCATCGGGATTTTCCGTCGTGGTTTCCCCTTGTCAGTGGTGCAGGACGTAGGTGCTGACAAGCACAGCTGTCTAGTCGTTCGTATGGGACAAAATGCCGAAGTCCCGTGTACACATTGGCGTGCACGTAAAAGATTCATGGGCAGTTGGAATTCGATATAAGAGTAGGTCGTAGCACCGCTGTCCGGGAAAATGTCCCTTTTAGCACACTGTATGGCGTATGTCCGTCTTCATTAGCCCAGTCAGAACAGAACGGTAGGCGAGTTAAAAGCCATTTCATTTCATTTAATCCTATGCAATGTTTCATTACTTCGATTGGTGCAGAACATTAAAACGTCAAACCCCATTCCATTTCAATCGTTTCAATGTCTGTGTAGTCTTGTCCGCAGGTATGTCTTATGGGTTTTGTTTACGTGTAGTGTGGTCCTCCTGCACTTACTATGTCCGTTACTAGCCTAGGAAAGTAAGACATAAAGCCCCACTTTATTTTGTTTTCAACTTCGGTTATATCATTATGTTTTCTGTATTTTCCAGGTGTTAATTACCTCCGTGATTGTCCCAAGGAGCCTAAATTACCCATATATCAAGTCGTTGGTGGTGTGTTCGGTATAATAAAAGTTTTATTTTTATTGTGGAAACAGGTGAAGAAACATAAAGACGATGTGGGAGAAATTCATGATGAGGACGATTTGAGCACTATGATTCGAATGACTAACGTAGCATTAAACATTTTCTTGACGATTTGGTTCGCTTTTGGACATTACTGGTTGTTTAGTATTTGGAAACCGCAATTCCAGGCGCCATTACACGAGCCCCGGAACTGGTGCGATCAGACTGTTTTCTTATTCACATTTTGGCAAATTGTTATTTGTCACGCTATGATTGCTTGTTTATTGGTGCTTGTTATTATATTATTTTATTGTTACTGTTGTGTTAAATGTGTATTGGATGAAAATAAAAGCTGATATATATATCACCTTGTATTCCCTTCCATAGAAGGTCCGTGAGTAATTAAGACGCTGGCTCAATATCCAGGATGTATCGGGTTCGATTCTGGTGATGTTCTTGCGTAGTATGCCACTTGTCAGTGATGCAGGACTGGAGATAGCAAGGGAGAGTATCTGGTCGTGAATATTTAAGGTCTTGGGTTCCATTCGGATGATTTTCCAGCGTAGTTCCCCCTTATTCGTCCGGGTGGGATAAACAAAAGCAAGGCGGTAGCGGTGGTGAGTGAGTATTGTGTTGGGTCGTTAACCACAAGGTTCCGGGTATTATACTCAGATCAATTCCGGAAACCGCAACAGGCTACAACGTGTACGGAGTCACGATAGCACGTCTCTCTGGATTTTCCATCGTGGATTCACTTTGTCAGTGATACAGGATGGACGGTCTAGCAACGTGTAGTTCCATGGGACAAAAATCCGAAATCCAGTGTACGCATTGTCGTGCACGAAGGTGAACTCTTGGAATTTAGTTTCAATTGATCGGTGGGATCACCATGGTGAGAACTACCATAGCATTCTTTAGAGGTTACGAAACCGTTCTGAGAAGTATTCTTACCGCAAAGAGTTGTTTCCCCTGAACTGAACTGACAGATTTACTTGGATTCGCTTTTCAGTTTCAACACAGATCCGGGCCTTCCTGCTGAGAAGTGAAATTGTCAGTGCTTAGTATGCACAACGTTGCTTTTCTGCGTCCAGTGGGACGGGGCACAATATCCAATGTTTTTATCGTTAGGATAGCAAGAGGGGGTTGAGGTGTGTGGAACATATGAAGCATATCTGAGGCATGGCATACGTTTGAACAGAGGGGGGTGGGTGGGGGTTGAGGTTTACCGTCCACTCGACAGAAATTCGCTTGTTTAGTAAGAATCGAACCAACTTGACTCAAAGGTAGGCCTTGTGATTTCACGCGCACGTGCTAAACCACTATACCACCCATTGCCCTATGTTGGAACAATAAAATTATCAAGATTACAGTCGATTGAAATCAGGTGATTTATTGCATTTGAGATGGGCTGCTAAAGATTAAGAAGGCACAAAAACTACAAATCCATGACTTAAATCGCATCTTTGCATGACTTTCTCTTAGTCCCTGGCCGCGAGAGAGAGACATTTATTTGAAATAAGTACGAATTTGTCTTTATTAAAAGTTGCCTTAATAATTTTCATCGTCTGTATACACTACTTTAATGGAATAGTTATAGTTGACAAAGTTGTTCGTTAAGCACAATACAGATCTTACCCTCGATCCATAACCACGAGAAACAGGGGTCATCCATTACGGGTATTTAATAATGCAGCACATAGCACATAGACCAAGGGTAATATCCAGACAGGTAAAACTGGTACAATGTAACTTGATATTCTCCATAATAGGGTCTCGTTCTTTAAAGCGGCATTATGGAAGATTAGTTCTCGCTATAATAGATGAAACATTGATAATGTGCAGCAATTGCACTAGGCTGGTTTAGCTCTTGCATAATGCCTGTTTAAGTAGGAATAATAAATAATAAGTGATTTTGAAATCTCCTCGGTCTTTGCAATATATATTCATAAGCAATAAATTTATACAAATTGTTATAGAAGACTTATTAAAAGTTATTAAATGACAAATAATTAGCTACACATAAATGAAGTGCTTCAATACAAAGTTATCGTTCTGAAGACATGTTCAAGCGAAATTTAAAAAAAGCAATAAAAACAATGAATGTAATAGAGCTCATAAAAATAAATCGTTTTTCAAAGGCTATTCGAACTGTAGTCATTAAAGCGGGGTTTCGCGCAACAACGCATGCATCGAAAGCATAAGTTAATATCTCAACCATCCATGACAGCTGAAACATATTCGTTGTGTTTAATTACGTCACGATGCTACTCACTCCACCTCCGTTGTAATTCTGTCAATTCGGAACGTTCCGGGCTGACAATTGAGCATCCCCAAAATAAATAATGTACGAATATCAGATAAAACATTAAAACCCAAAAACGGCCCCAAAAATGATCGTTCCATTTGAATTGAATATTTGAATAACTTTTGAATAATGACAGAGTCTATTCGAATATTCAAATCAGCAATTGATATTTGCACTATAATTTAATAAAACACAAAGAAACAGAATTATCGCCCATGACGAATTTGACCCAAGGGTTTATCGAGCAAAGGAGACTTTTCGCCATCAAGCTTATAAAGGCACACGCCTATACTCATGCTAAGCTTTTAAGAGAAATAAAGTTTTACTACAACACATTCAAAGTAAAAGTGAATACAGAGTAAATAATTATGTAAATACGATAAAACTAATTCTTGTTTAAATGGGTGATAACAATGTATTTGTGGATAATAAAATATAAGCGAAAAAAGGGTGAATAACGAAAATAAAAAATTGGCACAGAATACATAAATATAAATAAATATATAAATAGATATTATATATATATTATTTTTTTTGAATATCACAGATAAATATAAAAATATATACATAATTTATCACAGTAAAGAATTTATTAATCTTCACGCACAATCAGCAGACATTTTCCATCCTTCCCGCAACTTCACAATGTTTGGGTACATTCGGATAACTTCAGTTGTACAACAAAATCGGCTTCTACCGACAACTTTATGGGGATGCTCGATTGAACGTTTCGGAATTGAATTCTATCAAACCCAACAATAGTGGCAACCGAGTTTAAATGGGTATTCAGGGATAAAACGCACGTGCCGACTGCATTAGGAAATATCTCAACCAACCATGATAGCTGAAACATATTTCTTGTGTTTAATTACGTCACGATTCTACTCACTCCACCTCCGTTGTCGGGACTGACAGAACTGTGACAGAAATGAATTCGGCGTCAAACGATTGCAATTCCGTCAATTCCGAACGTTCCGGACTGACAATCGAGCATCGCCAATCTGATCTGTTACTTGCACCTATAGTGTTCCGAATACATCGGTACTTTTTGTGGAGTCAGGCCACCTTAGGTCTGTTTTGTCCTAGTATTGTGACTCTCGGATAAATTATATTTTTGTTTATTATAGTAAAATAGTTCACAGATATATTTCTAAAAATCCCATAACCATTATTCTAGAAACTATTATCCTAAATCAACCATTAGTTCAGGAGGTTGAATTACATGGCACTGGCAGAATAATTACTCCCAATATAGCATGTACACAGGAATGAGGACTGCAAACGACATTTACATTAATAAAAACTTGAAAAACAGTGTGTTATTTATTCAACTGTTTGTGTCAGATGTCAACTTATAATTCCATTGGAATCGAATACAGTATATACGCACAACGAATCTTCAACACCATACAACAGTATTTCAGAATTTGATCAACTAAAACATCAATCTTCACAGTCGATAAATATATGGTTGAATATATTTGTTGTATGTGGCTATTTGTTGGAATAAAATTATGTATTTGGTTGTCTATTGTGTATATTGTTTGTATATTGTGTACAGTGTCTGTCTATAGTGGTTGTGTATTGTTTGGACATGATATAATTATTGTTTGTATATTGTGTATTTTGTATGTATATTGTGTATTATGTATATTGGTTGTATGTTGTGTATATTATGCATATTGTTTGTATATTTTTTGGTGTGTTATGTATATTGTTTGTATATTGTGCATAGTGTTTGTATCCTATGTATATTGTTTGTATATTATGTATATTATTTGTATATTATGTATATTGTTTTAATATAATGTATATGTACGTTCAGAATGTATTTATCAAATCAAACTATTTTAAGCCGTCGTTTCACTTCGTCGGTTCTTTTCGTGGCTTGCTATTTGATTTATCGGGGCTATAGGCTCTAGATATTTTACTTTTCGACCTTTCTCGTTGTGGTTCGTTTGATTTCACACCAACACTGCGCGAACGTCGTCTAACGTCCAACGATACACTTCGTCTTGTGTCTCTTTTGACTCGTTCTCGCGTTCTGAAATGGGATTGTGTTTTTTCACGAATCATGTATTTCTGGCCCTGTTGACTTTCTATCATCTCCTGTTCCTCTAAACTATGTTCAGTCTCCTCTCGTAGAAGTTCACTCTGCTCTTTTCTGTGTGCTGGTTTCACGGACATTTTATCGGTTTCCGTTCCATCTAACACCTCATTTGTAATTTGCTTGACCTTAAAAAAATATATATATGTATACATGTATGTATTACCGGTCTAAATTCTTTTGGCCCTGTGCACCTAGAGTGTTTCCTCGCCTTCATTAGTATGAGAGGTGTCCCAAAAGATTCCCGACTCCACGTTAACGGATCACCCAAACTCAACCAACCCTACGTAAAATGTCCTCAGAAGCTTTTTTAAAAAAAAAATCATAAACAATATTTTTATTCAGTAAATATCTGAATTGGGATTGAGGAACAGACTTTGTCTATGTGTAACCCCTGCTATTAAGCCTACTCGTCATTGTAAAATCCTTTATGGCACCTAATCGCAGGCGCATATAAATTGGTGTACCTACCCATGCGTACAGGGCCCCTACTCCAGGACTAACTGTATTAGCCTCCATCATATTATGACCTTCCAGTATCTCTCTAGCCCGTGCTGCGATGGAAGGGTGTATCTCATCTGGCTGGATCTCGTGTAGACGACTGTGTAGACCATATTTACCACACACAACACAGCGTTTTTGACATTTCTTCCATTTCTACAAAGCATAAATCAAAGGGACGTAACCACGATCTTATTCATGTATTTCAACAAGAATAATGTTAGCTATTAGGCGTAAACATATGCTTAGGGCGCATTACAGAATCTGTTAACACTTATTTGGAATACGATATCTTTCTTGATGTAAGTCGGATTTTGACTGAACGGGTAATACTGCTAATGTGGGCGTGGGACAGACCAAAATCCAATATGCCAATTCCTGCTCATGTAATTTTTCCTATACCTATAAAGGGAAATAACTCTGTTTATTTACCTTGGTATTTTTCTCGGGAACTCCCATCACCAGCAGCATAGCAACCACGATTTTATGTACGATTTCCTGTGGACGACTGTAACTTCTGATCTCGGCCAATGTTTGTATATCTATCGTTGATTGGCGATGACGGACAAATACGTGACTGTCGGCGGCCTGAATGCGAGCTCTTGCTTGTGAAACCTCATAGGCAATCTCCATGGCGTAACCTTTGATTTCTATTTCTTCCAATGTCTCTTTTAATCGAAGGTAATTTCTGTTGGTTATATGGGTCGTTAAATCTGAAATTACACAATGTGATCATATTAACAACCACAGTAAAAGGCATGGAGCAAGAACGATTTGACGATAATTGAAAATACCAAATACCATAAGCAAATTGAGCTCACCAAGTTTCGCGCTGACATACATCATAATAATTCAATGTTTGGGAAAAACTTCCCTTTTTCGTTTATCTCGTTGTATGTTCATTTCTATTTATTCCATTTATGGATGGATTATAAGAAATGTGGATACGTTTAAAATTAAATAAATATACTAGTTTTACTTTATAACGTTTAGTAAGGAAATTAATTATTTAGACATTTGGTAATTAAGATGCGCTCTTAATTAGTTCAATTGCGAATTAATTCCCGTGTTGTCTTTAGCGCACAGGCGCGAATTTGCCGTGAACAACAGGACATGTTATTACATTTCTATCTCCAAACTTAATAATGTTTAATCCAAATTTCTACTGGGCGCAAATGATCTTAATACTAAGTAATTTAAAGGCCGTAACTATTTTGTATCTAAATATTCTAATTGTGTTTACTGTTTAAAATGTCTTAAAATAAACTATTAATACTCAAAATTTTATTAGTCTACTCCTAGCTTTGCTTGGTAATCTTGCTAATGTCAGTGTCAATGTTATAACTTACCATCACGTAACCTAACTATATCAAGCATGCGTACAGCTCTGTTAAAATGTTTTGTCTTTTTATAACCTTCAAGTTTCCAGTCATCAATGGCACGTATAAGTTCCAATTTTTCCCGCCGTCTTGTAGCGGCTTTCAGTCTGTTTAAGATTAACTGCTGACGTAAATCTGAAATTCAGGTTAAATTACTTTATCACTTTGTCCACCTTAATGCATTTATTTAAACAGGCATTGTGCAAGAGCTAAATCTGTCTATTGCAGGCCTATCTTTAGGCCTGAAGTGTTATATAAATTATTGATTAGACATTAATTAACTTACCAAGGCCATACTCAACCCTCGATGCGATCGGATGGTTGCGACGTAAGTAGATTTAAATAAGATTTGTGGTGAATTAAGTTACCTTACAAACGGATAATCTAGATTTGTTTATTATCGTAACAACGGTTGTAATGACAATCGAGGCTAGGCTTTCATTGTTGGAGGGTTGGATGGCTGAATGGTTAACACGTGCGCGTTGTATCAGAAGGTCTGTCATTGAGCCAAGTGGCGTGGTTTTGATTCCCCGCATGTGCGTGAAAAGGAGTAAGGTCGGCTGTCCAATCTCGTGGGTTTTCTCCGGGTCCTCCGGTTGCCTCCTATATTCGCGCGAGCGAATTATTGAAATAAAATTGAAAAATATGTTAGTCCCGAAATGGACTAGTTTGGGTCGAGTGAACGATACTCTCTCTCTCTCTCTCTCTCTCTCTCTCTCTCTCTCTCTCCGTTTTTTAAGAAAAAGAAACTAAAATGGCAACAGTATATAATCTCCCGGTTGGGATTCTATAGGATAAAGAAGAGTCCCAGCGAAATTTTCAATTCATCATATCTTTGTAAATAGGAGGCAAAGGTATAAAGCGCATCATAAATTTGGGTTTGTAGGGATTACTGAATTTCGATGACGGTGTAAAGGGTGCTACACAAATAAAGTCCTTGATTTGTAGGGATTGCCGGATTTAGATGACGGCGTAAACGGTGCTACACAATTAAAGTCCTGGATTTGTAGGGATTAGCTGATTTAGATGACGGTGTAAACGGTCCTACACAATAACACATACTGTTGTATATTACAAGAACAATTTTTAAAGACTTTGTAAATATAAGCCTGCACTTTATACTCATCATAGATAATGCAATCCTAGAATTAGCTCGAATATTAACTAGATTTGTGATGATGGACAGGATAGCTCTCACCAGTATTTGACAGCTTGAACACAAAAGCACAATGCCACGTCACACGCCCTCCCGTTTCGGAAAAGTAGGTCCGTCAATGTGATTTATACTTACTGTATGTTTACATTAAAAACAAAATAATATTTACTCTTTTTTTCTCGTGCTTCGCTTTTCTTTTCTGTGTGCGCCTGTTTCTTTTTCCATTCTTCAAATTCAGCCATTTTAGCCTAAATAGTTATAGATAAAATGAAATATATTGACACCATGTAGGTTAATCTGATATTAACAGAATATTAAAAACTATTCATAGAAAAAAAATAGCAATAAAAATGTCACTATTTTCAATCACTGATCTCTGTTCCCGACTTTACTTCCCAGCTATTGTAAGCCCCGACCTTACGTATTAGCTAATTTAAGCCCCGAACTTTATTAGCTCCCATTTCTGAGCTAATCCAAGTCCCGATCACACCCTGCTATTTCAAGCTCCGACGCTTCCTTCCATCTAATTTAAGCCCGGATCCTATCCCTCAGCTAATTTAAGCCCCCCACCCCAGCTAATTAAAGCCCGACCTTGCCTCCCAACTCTAGCACTGGCAATACCTCCCAGCTAATAAAAGCCCCGACCTTACCTCCTAGGTAATAAGTTCCTACCCCGACCCCAACCTAATTCAAGCCCCAGACTCCCCATCTCCCAGATAGTTTTATTCCCGACCTTACCGCAAAGCTAATTCCAGTTCCGACCTTCCCACGAGCTACCCCCCCCCCCCCCGCCGAACCGAAATCTCACCGCCCAGCTACTGTAAGCTCCTACCTTACCTCCCAGATAATTTAAGCCCCGAATTTATCTCCCAGCTATCCTCTGAAGAAAGGGTATCTTTAAGCCCCTACCTTACCTTCCAGCTAATTCAAGCCCCGACCTTACCTCCCAGATAATTCAGGCCCCGACCTTACCTCCCAGCTATCCTCTGAAGAATCGCTATCCACATCAATAGTGTCAGACGATTCCTCAAACAGATCAGAATCTTCCCTTTTCTTCTTATCCTTTCCTTTCGATTCAACCGTTGACGCTGACGTATCTGACATAAACGTTTTATCTTTGGTGCGTTTGGATTTGATTTTCTTCTTTGGGTCATTCTTGCTGAACGTGGTTTTCTTTTCTTTTCCCTTCTTTCTTGGTATGCTCTCCTCATACTGGCCAATATCTGCTTGAAACTCTTCCGTTAAGGTATCGTGAACAATGGGATCCACGTCAAGAATCTCCGAAAAGCCATCATCGGGTTCATCTTCCAAGGGTTTCTCCTCGTAAATCTCTGGATCTTCCCATTCTCCAGTTTCTTTCAGTTCCTCAACTCTCCGACGAGCCGATTCGTAATATTCTTTCTGTATCCTTTCCATTTCCTCCATTTCTTCTTTTGACACGATCTGAATTTGTCAAGAAACAAGAAAAAAATAGAAATTTCCTTAAGAAACAACAATGGTAACAACTATAACGTTTAGTAACCTGTCAAATGACGCTTCGTTAACCAACATTTTAATATTACGTTTCAATAACAATTTTTTTTATCCAGTTCTCTGAAACTGCAAATCTATAGAATTCGATTTGAATTAAAAATAAGTAGCGTAGATCTATTCCATCACGTGAATATAATTATCTATCAAATTCTCTGAAAATGCCAATCCATTTGGTTTTATATTCTCTCGGGTGAATTATACATCCAATGACATGAAGCTACAAGTTCATTTTAAAACTAAATCTCCAATTAAAGTGTAGATAGGTTAAATGTAATCCAGTCATGTTCACTCGGGTAAAATGTATATCCAATAATCTGAAAATTCTTTCACACTTGCATGTAAAAGCTATTGCTAGTGAGATAATATAGTAACAACCACTTCACTGTTTAGATATAGTCGTATTCTATAAAACCAGAAATCTAATAGATATGACTAATCTAACCCAGGTATATTTGTGTATCGACTAATCTGAACATTCCTTCACATTTGCAATTAAAGGCAATTGATTGTCAGAATATATAGTAATAACTATTTCACAGTCCAGATATTGTCTACAATGGGATGAAGATGTAGATATCAAAGAGAATCAATATCTTCTACCGACAAATGGCACTCTCTTGTCAATTATTAATACAATAGACCGAACCAAGACGGTAATTAATACACAGAAACAGTTGTTAACAAACACAACATACTTAGTGTTATCATTTGTGTAAAGTGAGAATAGGGCGAATATTAATAATATGTCGACAATTTACTCTTGTCCACGCACCTCACTCAGTGTTGTGTACAATTTCGTTTCAATAATGGGTATTCGTCAGTGTGTGTGTGTGTGTGGAGGAGGGGGGGGGGGCAAAAACAAGTTAGAGGAGTTTTAGACATTCAGTACTATATCTAACATATTATTGGAGAGAGACAATTAGTTCATTTCGGGACTAACATATGGTTCAATTTTATTTTAATAAGAAAGAGGAAGTCGGAGGACTCGTAGAGTAGGCTGCCAACGGGGTTGGACAGGGGAACCTACTCCTTGTCACGTACAACCGGGGGATCGAAACCACGACACTTTGCTCAATGACATATCTTATGATTAAAAGGTTCAATTGTATTTTAATAAGAGAGAGGAAATCGGAGGATTTGGAGAGTAGGCTACCAACGGGGTTGGACAGGCGAACCTACTCCTTGTCACATACAAGCGGGGAATCGAAACCACTTCACTTTACTCAATGACATGCCTTATGATTTAAAGCGCACGCGTTAAACCATTCGCCCCCGCCCAACCCCTTAACATATTGGAGATCTATATTTTATGTACAATATGGGTTGGGAATGTTAACATGACGTATTCTATCATTTTATTTTTGACCTGAGGTTAGGGTTAGGGCGTACATTTTCTGATCAAAAGCATATTTAAGTCAAACAATTATTTATAAACGCTATACTTGAAAGGGTATCGAGTTAATGCAATATTTAAGAGCAGGCGGTCCTTTGAATAATTGGAATCATTACAATTAATAGAGCGAATAGTTTAATACATAGCATAAACAGAAAATTGGCATTCTTTTACTAAGTGACGGTGTTTACATATAAACAGTCGGACAATAACCGCTCCCACACACAATATCGTCAACGACAAAACACATTTATCATTCCCCTTTAAAGGCGACATGGGTGCTTCTAGGTTCCTTTCAGGAATATTTCATCTTTATAAAATGAATTTTAACTGGAAATATGCCTTTACCTACTGGGCATATTTGGAGATCTTCTGAAAAATTGTTTTCACTAAGAGAAAGAGAGAAATGGGGTTTAACGTCACTTCGATACAAAATAGTTTATTTCGGGACTAATTATTATGGTAGAATCTCATTTCAATAATTCGCTTGATCTCGCTTGAACTCCGTACATCTTATCAATGCTTTCACGTAATGCCCTGGATATTTCGGCACTAATTTCGATTGCGTATTCACCCAGCTTGAGAGCTTATCAGATTCCTCGATCATCTGGTGGGGGGTGGGGGTCACGTTGGCTAAGTGGTTAAGACACTGGTTCGCTAGCCTGGAGGTCGGATGTTCGATCTCTGCATTGGCCGAGGAAGTTCATCCAGATTTTCCGGCTCGGTTCCCCCCTGTCAGTGATGCTGGGCTGTAGGTCTGACAAGGACAGTTGCTTAGTCGTTCGGATGGGACGAAATACCGACGCCCCGTGTACATATATGCGTGCATGTAAAAGATCCCTTGACATTTGGAATTCGATATAAGAGTAGACCGTAGTGCCGCTGTCCGAGCAAAATTTCCCTCATAGCACGCTGTATGGCGTATTCCCGTGTTCATTAGCCCAGTTCGGAGCAGAACAGTAGAACTTTAAACCCCATTTCATTTTATTTCATTTCGATCATCGCGAATACCAAGTCTCGCGCTTTCCAGCTAAAATGTCTATCTTCGTTCAATGTCAAGGTTTCCGTGGAGGTTGCTTTATTTGATTGGATTCTACTCGTGTTCACATGTGTGCAGTAAATGGAGATTACGTATATAAGTTCGGGAATTGTAAAGCAATCTAGCAACGTCCAGATGTTGTAAAACTCGCAGTCGCTGCTTCAGGAACATGGATGACACGAAGAAAACCCGAAAGATTTGGTAGGCGACCCTACTACATACTTGACACTTTGAAGATTGGGATCGAAATCACGCCACTTGACTCATTGACAACCCTTATGATCTACATCTTATACGATATACTACTCGGCCACCCAATCTCCACATTAGCGAAGCCGATCATAGACAGTATCAGACGTGTTTGAAGGTCGTCTACTTGGACACCCCTTAACGTCTAGACGCCAACCTCATAAATTATTCATTATAGTTGTAAAGCCCAGAAAGAAATAACAAATGATACCGAGCATTTAATTTTGTATTTAAAGGTGTAATTCTACATGGTAAATGATATGACGTTTAAAGTTTTACTTTTTTCGCCAACCGTATTTACCGTTATCATGGGTTATACTGTGTGAACCATGTGGTATTTACCGTTATCATGGGTTATGCTGTGTGAATAATGTGGTATTTACCGTTATCATGGGTTATGCTGGGTGAATAATGTGGTATTTACCGTTATCATGGGTTATGCTGTGTGAACCATGGGGTATTTGCCGTAATCACGATTTATGCTCTGTTAATCACATGGTTTGTACCGTAATTACGATTTATGCTCTGTTAATCACATGGTATGTACCGTAATCACGATTTGTCCTGTTTTCACCACGTGGTATTTATCATAATCACAAGTAAGTGCTGTGTAACTACGTGATCTTTACCGTTATCACCAGTTACGGCTTGAAACATCTCGCGAATGACTTTGCATGTCATTTGTTCTACTTGCAAACCGGGGTGTTTAATTCGCTGATCGCCATTTGCCTTTGTCCGAAATATTTAATTTGCCAGTTCTTAATCCAAGCCTAAAACGTACCCATATTAATTAACAGAAACCAGTAAATAATTCCCTTTTGAGCAGGAGGGAATCCCAGATAATCGGGATAGAGATTATGCTACTCGGTCACCCTAAACTCAAAAAAATTATTTATATTTCAATACAATATTTATCAGAGTTAAGTACGCCAATACATGCTAAAAGGTGCAAACGGCTTGGGCACATTGTATCAATTTAACCATAAAAAAACTGGCAGTCGAATAATCTTTATAATATAGCAATAAAACGTATTCATATCGATTCAGTTATATTATATTAGTCTAACAAACAAACAAGCCTTTAACTGTCGTTCAATGCACATTATACTGTACAATATTTAATTAAATACGGGGGCTTTGAGTTCAACACATGTTGATTGTTTGAGAAATGTACATGGCTACAGTTGTACACTTGAAATAACACTTTTCTATACAAGATGTATTATATCAGATTTAGATAAAGAACTGGTCGTTCTTACTATAACTGTTTAACAATAGATCATAAAATGGGAATATATTGAAATTTTCAGTCATATTACTTATTCTGAGTGCATCTTTGAAGTTTTGACAAATATCATTACTACGATAATAAACTAAGTCTCGATTGTTCATTTAACTCTTACATAATACATCTTCAAATAGGAATTTAGATATTTATTTTCTAATCTAAGTTAGTTCTATAGACGACAACATAAAACAAATATCTGTATTGTCATTTATATATTAACGCTGTTACGTTTCAGAATTTATTTTAATTAGGGTTTTAAAGAACATGAATATAACTTTGAAAATCTGGGGTTTATAAATATCATGTTAAAGTCGACCATTCTGGTAGTTCAATTTTCGGACAATATCTAAATATTCACGTCCCAATCCAAGCTAAAAATGTAGTTCAATTGATTATTGTAATATTTTTAATGTAATATTTAAAAATTTGAAATGAAAACCAAACCAAAATATCAAAGGTAGTTAGTCCTCAGTCTGGCTGGGGGTGGGGGGTGGATGGCCGAATGGTAAGCACCTTCGTGCTGCATCATAGGGCCTGTCATTGAGTCAACTGGCGTGGTTTCGAATCCCCGGTTGTATGTGACAAGGAGTAGGGTTGCCTGTCCAACCTCTTGGGTTTTCCCCACTGCTAAAAACCCCTACGCGCAAGCGAATTATTGAAATAAAATTAAACCATATGTTAGTCCCGAAATGACCTAGTTTGTATCGAGTGGACGTTAAACCCCATTTCTCTCTCTCCCCCCTCAGTCTGGGATTCAATCGGATTAAAAGTGTGGGGCTTGCTAAGTTAGATCGCCTGTAGAAGATGCAAAACGTTGCGGAATTTTCTTGCTATGCACTCAATGGAAAATAATGATTTCGGGACTGGCATTCCGTTGATAAATTGCAAGGAATTAAAAATCATTCATATGACGGTGGATTCGTTTAGCCAAGTGAAGATCAGCAGTTTTACGGTTTAGAAACCCAACCCCACCTGTTCATTTAGGCGACAAGTATCATTTCTACAGGAGATATCATTGGGGAAGGGGGGGGGGGGTAGTAATAGTACCGTTATAGAACTAATCATTAGTTAACAATAGTCTAGTAACATGGGTGCATTAGTTAACAATAATCTAGTAATATGGGTTCATTATTTAAAGATAGTCTAGTAATATGCCTTCATTAGTTAACAATTGTCTAGTAATATGCCTTCATTAGTTAACAATAGTCTAGTAATATGGGTTAAAGATATCCATTTATTTTGATAACGAAATAGTTTAATATTCCTTACCTTAAATTGGAGTAATGAAAAGAGGGAATGTGAGCCTTCCTCCATTGACGCAAACATTTTAATGTTTTTCCCTTCTTGACCAGGTTCTATTGTGATGTCATTCGACCATAGACCGTCCTCCCGTTTCTCCAACTGCTGCCAACCATATTTACCTATGAGAGTCACCTTTAATGCATCGGGGATATCCACAAGAAACCGGACTACCGTGTCCGAAATAAGATAAACATCTTTCGGAGAGAGGAATCGATAATAAGGGGTCCAACTCGCCAGTGATGTTGGAAATGGGAAGCATCGTTCACTGGGCCAGTTACAAATTATCACTGCGTTATAGACGGCGTTAACTTGATCATCTCGGTCGGGTAGAATCGCATACAGGGAGAATAGATACATCCCTTGTTGTGGAAAACGCAATCTAAAAGTTCCCATGAGTCCTAGTAAACTCCACGTGGTATACTCATGCATGGGTGTTTCGGTGTTGCCGTGACATAATTTGAATTCTGGTAAATAATGAACATTGGGAGCTAAATTAATTTTCAACTTCAGACCACCGGATGGCGGCGAATAAATGATACAAGTCTCTGGGCGAACTAATTCCATATTCAACTTCCGGAAGAAAAGATTCGTACCAACCAGACCGTCATCTATTCTGGGAAAAGGTAGAATATCCCTTGGTACGTCATCAGATGCTCGCACTAAGTACGTGCAAACATTTACAAATATTCCAGTGTCATCTTCCTTTCGGGAAAAGATCTTTAAGGCATAATCTCCAGCTTTGGGGACTCGAACGTGTATAAATAGTTTCTCGGATTCACTCCTATGTATCACGTAATTTGCAAGCTCTGTCACGTGGATGTGCGCATGATTTAAAGTGTGTAATATATACACCCGTGTTTCCATTTCAAATTCTATCAAACCTTCCCCCCTCGTCAAGATAACCTCTCCCCGCGGATGAGATATCGGTTTTAATCCAGATACAACACAGTCCGACCCAGGTCCCCATTCCTCACGGTCGTTTTCGAGATACGGTTCACAGTGAACACTTTTAGAGCACTTTATCACATACGTACACAATCCGTTTGTTTTATCCACCTCTTCCCAGCCATCTCGACCGTTAATTTCTAAAACATACGTGCCTGCTGATGGCACGTTCACTTTAATTTTATAACAGTTTATGTCTGAATCACTTTCCAGATAAACATAATCCCTTAAATCACTGGAATTTACGTGTTTATGGGACTTGCCTTCAACTTTATGGAAGCTGCAGGCCATTTTTCGTGCTTTATCTTCTGGTGCGTAAAGAATAAAGTCCAATTTTCCGTCCACAGTTTCCATTACCGATTCGTACATTTTCTCCTCCCGGAATCCGAGAATGAAAAAATGCGGTTTAAGATACGGTAAGTATGTAAATTCGGCGTAAGACACGGGTCGTGGTAGGAATTGAAAGTTTTCTTCGTCGGGAAGATGCGAAAACACAAACACCTCCGGATCGGTTAGAAAGTAAAAGTCTAAAAGATCAGTTATGGGTGATTCACGTGTTTCAAATCCGTTTGGACTGTCTTCCTCATTCTCCTCCTCTTCACGGGCCTCTTTGGCGACTTTGAATGTGACTGCTGCTCTAGCTACGTCCACGAGCCGCCACGAATCATTTATAACTACTGCGGACCAGGTTGCCGTTACCGTTTCCGTAACAACATTGGAAGGTTGTTCAATAAAACCCCGCGATATACCCTCGATGCTTCTGCAGTGTAGTCCAGCAATTCTGAAATTAGAATCAAAATTTCAAAACAGACATTTTAACACTTAAGATGTTTAGAAAGAGTTAGCTGTTCTTGCTATAATAGTTTAAAAATAGATGAAGGACAATCAGGACTGGATTAAAACCATATAGAGTCCCTAAGCAAATAAGGAACCACAAAATAAATGGGGTTTTATATTCATCATAATTAATTAAGACAAAGCATGCAACAGTAAGGAAGGTGAAAAACAATGAAAACTCATTAAAAGTTCTTAATTAATTTTTAAATTTGTCACCTAACGAAGCAGGTGGTGTCATGTGGTTAGGGTTTTTTTGTTTGTTTTTTTTTTTAGGTTTTATGTATGTCATTATGTATATGGAGACAAAGAAGGTGACAGTAAGAAAAATAAAAAAAAATAATGAAAACTAATTAAAAGTTCCTTTGAATTTGTCATCCAACAAAACTGAAATTCTGTGGTGCTCCCTTCCAATGATGCCATAAGCAAGTACTTGTTTAGCTTAATGGTTAATCCAGTCCTGGTTGGTACATTAAGTTGTCTTTATCAAGTAAAAATATAATTTTTAAAACGAAAATGAAATGGGGTTTAACGTCCTACTGTTCTGCTCCTAAACTGGGCTAATGAAGAAGGGCATACGCCATACAGTGTGCTATGAGGGAAATCTTGCCCGGGCAGCGGCGCTACGGCCTACTCTTGTATCGAATTCCAACTTCCAAGGGATCTTTTACGTACTTTTTAAAACGAAGATGGGTCATGCATATATACACTCGTGTAAACGTCGCTCAGTAGTAAGCAGTCATTGTATTCTGTAGAAACTTACACTGTTTATATTCAGTCTAACTACAAAATCATACGAAACTTACCATTATATCAGCTTGAGAAAAGACATGGGTCTAGCTGACCGACATTTTAATTCATAAATCGACGATTTTAGTCGAAAACATTAAGTATACTTCGAGCATTTTTAAAGTATGTATTCTACATCTTACTTTTAACCAAAGTTGAAAAATAATTAAAATATCTACAAAGATAGGCTTTAAAGTATAAAGTAATTTTTTATAATTTCTGAGGCTATTAAAACCGTCTGGTGTGAGAAAACCGTGATTAATGGTGATTATTTAAATAAATAAAATTTGTCCCTGTGTTCATGATAACTACACATTTCTCAATTTATATACAAGTTTTATGTGATGGTCCAGACTTATTGTGAATATAACTAAGCTTAAAGGAATTAGGTAATGAGTATCATACATAATATCTTCAAATACGGTAGACCTAATTATATAACAGTCCTAATTGAAAAAAACCCCAATGTATATGAGGTTATGTGTCTTTTCAAAAACATTTAGACAGTATATGCCTTAGCTTGACAATATGAAACCCCTCTTCCAAAGTCTGATCTTCACTGAATAGATGTGATGGATCTAAGCCTACTTACTTGCACATAGTGTTAAAAAGTTCAGCATGGGTAATCTCATCGGCTTTGACCTTTCTTAAGAACACCCGTGTTGGGTTCATCGTTTCGTCAATTTGTTCCGAGTCGGAATCGGACCCCAAGGAATCGTCTTCCACACTTGAATTGAGATCGGTTGTAACAAGCCAAACGAACACAGCCCTTGCCTGTTCTAATTTGTTACCACTAGCAGGTTTGATCAAATACTTCACCATTTCTTTCAGGGACTTCCGCATCATTTTATCGGGCACCTGGCAAAATATGACATATTTTTGTTCAATGTACACAATACATTAGTTTCTACGGGTGTCATGCACGGGACCCAATTCTCTAACATTCATGTTGTGTATATTGACGAAAAAATGAACCACAGGTGGTTCATTAGGTATAACATCTTCTCACTAACCAAAAGGTTCGATCCTGGTGTTGGTCGAGCCGATTCCAGAATATTTCCGCCTAACATTATCAGATTTCAATCGTTTATTAGGCCTGTATTTGTGTATATTGTATTTAATGCATCTCAATATCTACTGAAATTGTTTCAATCGTATCCGATATCAGTCCTGTACGTTTTAAAAACAAAACTTTACATACCTTACTAGCATGAAGGTCGATAGATTTAAAATCTTCTGATTTCAATAGTTTCGCTTTCTTTACTAAGGTTGGACAGGGTATGATTATACCAGATTTGTCGATTGGTGGATCACAGGCCATTGAGCGATATTCATCGAAGGTTCTTTTAAACAGGTCTAAAGATGGTGCTTCTTTCAGATATCCACTTCTCTCCATCCTCATTGAAAGGCGATTGTAAAAATCATCAGCATCCCGTATTGGATCTGGAGAGCTGATTCGGACATGTTTTTTTTGATGAACCTTCATTAGATCATCGTCTCTTATAGACTCCCTTTTGTCTTTGGCTGCATTTTGGCCCGTCTGTTGTGCATTCATAGCTGCATTTTGGCTCGTCTGTTGCTGATTCATGACTACATCTTGGTCCTTCTGGTGCTGATTCATGTCTAGATCTTGGTCCTTCTGGTGCTGATTCATGGCTGCATCTTGGTCCTTCTGGTACTGATGCATGGCTGCATCTTGGTCCTTCTGGTGCTGGTTCAGGGCTGTATCTTGGTCCTTCTGATGCTGATTCATGACTGCATCTTGGTCCTTCTGGTGCTGGTTCATGGCTGCATCTTGGTGCTTCGGGTGCTGCTTAATGAGTTCATCCTTGTCCTTATTTCTAATATCCCCATTAGAAGTTTCCCTGGAAGGAATTACGGTATCCTTAACCACCTGTCCATTCGGAATAGTGTTCGGATATTTGACGGTCGTTGGTTTTCTAGTATTGGTATTGTTGCTGCTAACACTGTTGCGTTTCTGTTTCGAGTTGTTCTGGGGCGGCGCTCTGCTCGACGAGTTGCTCTTTCTCCTGTCGTTGGACATGTTTTGATCGTTCGATATCTTGCGGCTACGTTCGTCATTTGTGCTGATTTTTCTGTCAACAGTACTGGTGTTGCTTCCCATTGTATTGTCTCTCGACCATTTGGTTGTGCTCGTCTCTGTGGTACTCAGGTCAGTTTTTTCTTTATAAATGTCACGTGAACCGTGGTCCTGTACAGTGTAATGGACAGAATCACTGTCTTCAGAAGCAGTTGATATCACTATAGATACTTCGCTTTCAGGTTTCAGGGAATAATCAGTCAATGAACGCTTTGGTTGATCCGACGGACGTTCGTGGTGCTTCACATCTCCGTCGGCTATAATCTAAAGAATAAATTTTACATGTGTTATAAGGCTTTTGGATATTTTATAACAGTTGGGGATAACGACACAGCATTAAAAAGACAGAACAAACATACAGCAATGACAATACGCATGGATCAAAATCAGCATCAACTAGAAATTCCTAAATTTATTTAATGACCGTACCGTGTCTAACCTTGTTGCTTCAAGCACCTCTGATAATAGGTAAAATAACAGCACTGTTTCATACCTTGTTGCTTCAAAAAGACCCTACTGTATTACAGATTGATTTCCGGTATCACATAAAATCCTTAAATTATTAAAGCACCTCTGATAATAGTTAAATAATACAGTGATTATCGGTACTATGAGTTCCTTTTTTACCCTCTGTTACGACAGACTTGTTGATTTCTAAATCAATATAGAGTGTATAACGACTAGTCCATGGTTACCAACTTGAAACAACCGTATCCTGATTGATGAGGTTTTATTAATCTATTACTGAATCAACCAAGAATAGAGTGTTGCTTTAATTAAATACCTCACACGAAGTTCTCAGTTACCATCACAACGTTACAATTGTGTTTCTCTGAGCATATCAACAGTATTTGCCAATATTGAATTGTCATACTATTATTGATGTGATTCCAACAGAATGACCCACCCTAAAAATGAAGTATTACTTAAATGCATGTTCGTTTATAGTTTAACTATTGACGTATTGAAAAAGTTGAAAACGACAATTCCAGATATTATATTATCGGATTTTCTGTTTTTAATTAGCTGATCGTCATTTGGGTGCTTTTAATCCTATGCAAAATTGTGAAAGTTAAAAGACCTATCGACCTAAAAATGTTCTAAATCCGTTCCTTTGTTAATCCGATTGAATCCACGCCGAGGGACTGTCTACCGTTGATGATTTGATTTTGTTTTCTTACTTAAATGTTAAAGATGCATTATGCAAGATTTAGATACAGAGTTGGTCCTTTTTGCTTTAATAGTTCACAAATAGATAATGCAAAATGAATATATTGAAAATTTCATTTAAATTACTTTATTCGGTGCGACGTTATCACTGTTTGGTGTTTTGACAATATCTGGCATTGATTGTTGATTTTTGTAATAAAGGTAATTGTTATTCGAGACTTTCATTAAATTGCCGAAGCCTTTCAATCTACTTAAAATCAGAGACATCCGATAACCTAGAGAGTTAATTATGGGCTTGTCATGTCTATAAATGTTTAAATGATAGTTTATATAAGATTTAAAGCCAAAATAAATAATTCTACTAGGCAGTTAGATTTAGCTCTTACATAATATATCTGTAAGGGACATATTTTTACTATAATAGTTAAATACTAGATGATGTAAAGGGAATATGCGGGGGGAAGCCCGGAGAAAACCCACGTTGTAAGGCAGGCGAATTCGTACCTGGGAACTATCTGTAGATTCCATGTTGTTTTCGTACAGATCTTCCTCGGTGGATTCCTGTACGACAGGTAATGGCGTCTTATTCTCGAACAGACTAGAGTTATCTCTGCTCAGTCGATATGGTTTCTGTTCATGTTTCTTGGACATCGTTTCCGGTTGATGACCCGGTGAAACTTTGGATTCTGTCCCACCCATAGTTACAGCTTAAACTGATCCTGAAAACGAAAGTAATTCGAGAGATCAAAAGAATTCACAAACATACAACATAAAGAATTTTATACGCAGTTTACGCCAATTTTATACGCAAGTTTACACCAACTATGTGTACGCGGTTTTAGAACAATTTTAAAGGAGTTAAATCGCTAACATTTGGGACCTAGAAATTGACACAAATGGGTCGCAACGCATATGAATGCATATAAACTGATTTACATTCAATCGTTTCTGTTTTTACTGTAATTTCTAATCAGTTATGTTCGGCGAAATGCGCCAAAGTCTCAATTAAATGACAATCTTTAGAGTCTGGTTATTCCAGTCTACACCGATGGTATTTATTGTGCATGCTCTCCAGATAAGAATATAGCGTCACCATTTGACATGACTTGTGGAATATGTCTAGCCTCGTTCTTTGAGTCCCTTGTTCTGAATGGCGCTGAAACGCATTATGGTACACGATTTTGTCTTGAATATTGGATATCAGAAGCCCATCTTTTCCCTGTAAGATCACAAGACCAATGTTGATTTGAATTGACAAATAATTCGTGTTTTCAATGTCGAAGATTTTTGATGATATTGAGTTAGAGACTTAGCTATTTTAAATATTTCGTTCTGTGATTTCGGGTGGTTACGTCATTAACGTCTAAAGACATATTTATAAAAATGGCCTTCGTACTGCAGAATGTTCTCGTTGTTAGGATTTGCTCCTGTTTGCCCACTACACTTTAATTATTAATTTTTAACGGTTTCCTAAACTCTTTTCGGATTATCGCCTTTATTATTGTTAAAAAAAACAGCAGACATTCTAACTTATGACGTTAACAGGTCGAATTTGGCAATTCAGAAGACGACCAAGGCCAAGACTGGTCGCATTAGGCCTTTCTTGTTAATCTTTTTTTTTTCATTTTGAGTGCAGCGTTTATAATTACAGGCTTAGGACTGTACAGTGCAGTGGACGCTCACCGCTGGGCCCCGGATCGATTTCCTTGATTTGATATTTGTTGTTTATTTCGTGCAATGTCTGTGTAGTTTGTCCTGTCCGCATGTTTGTCTTATCCGTTTTGTTTTGCGTGTAATGCAGTTCTCCTGCACTTACTATTGAATCTCATTGTGTATCGGGCATTAAATTTTAATTGACCGTTTTGCACTTGGTAGGGTTAACTACAAACTTATAGCACTCTTGCGTAGCTATGCTCAGAATAATTTCCAAAGGTGTTTGTGATTTCACATTCAATGAAATGGATTTATGTTAATTGTATATTAATAGCACCCAGTCTTCACCTTGGCATTATATACCAAGCAACTGGTGTAACCTTGATATAGTGTCAGAGTTAGATTTTTTTTTAAAGAAACGACTACGATAACTGTCCCTTATGCTATACCCGTTACGGCCTCATAGTTGCGCTGCGCTATATGTAAAATGTACACCACGTACAAAATAGTACCAAAATACAAAATACTACCAAACTATTAAGCCTAGTACAAAAAGTACATATTACACCACGTACAAACAGTGCCCAAATAAAAAAAAATAGTACAAAAGTACAAAATGGTACGCAGCGTTCACAATAGCACCCAAAATATCAAAAATGGTAGTAACAAATGGTATAAAATAGTATACCACGTATACAATAGTACCAAATAGTACTAAATTGTAAAAAAAAAGTACAAAATAGTGCACAACGTATAAAAATATTACGAAATAGTACAACGTAGAACCAAACAGTACAAAACAGTACACTACGTATAAAATACTACCAAATAGTACCAAAATACAAAATAGTACCAAACTATTAAGCCTAGTACAAAAAGTACATATTACACCACGTACAAACAGTGCCCAAATAAAAAAAATAGTACAAAAGTACAAAATGGTACGCAGCGTTCACAATAGCACCCAAAATATCAAAAATGGTAGTAACAAATGGTATAAAATAGTACCAAATAGTACTAAATTCTAAAAAAAAGTAAAAAATATTGCACCACGTATAAAAATATTACGAAATAGTACAACGTCGAACCAAACAGTACAAAACAGTACACTACGTATAAAATACTACCAAATAGTACAAAGCAGTACCAAACAGTAAAAAATAGTACACCATGTACAAAATAGTACCAAAAGTACTAAATTTTTAAAAAAATAGTACATCACGTATAAAATAGTACCAAATAGTACAGAGTAGCACCAAATGGTAAAAAATAGTACACTACGTATAAAATACTACCAAATAGTACAACGTAGTACCAAACAGTAAACAATAGTACACCACGTACAAAATAGTACCAAATAGTAGTAAAATTTAAATATAGTACAAAATAGTACATCACGTATAAAATACTACCAAATAGTACAGAGTAACACCAAATGGTAAATGAAATGAAATGAAATGGGGTTTAACGTTCTACTGTTCTGCTCCTATACTGGGCTAATGAAGACGGGCATATGCCATACAGTGTGCTATGAGGGAAATTTTGCCCGGGCAGCGGCACTATCGCCTACTCTTATATCGAATTCCAACTGCCAAGGAATCTGTTAAGTGCATTCCAATGTATACACGGGACCTCGGTTTTTCGTCTCATCCGAAGGACTAGACAGCTGTCCTTGTGAGACCCTCCGTTCTGCATCACTGACAAGGGGAAACCACGTCGGAAAATCCAGATGAACTTTGTCGGCGAATGCAGGGATCGAACAACCGACCTCCAGGCTAGCGAGCCAGCGTCTTAATCACCTAGCCACAACACCAAATGGTAAAAAATAGTACACCACGTATAAAATAGTACCAAATGGTATAAAATAGTTTCCTTCGTATCAAATGGTACCAAATAGTACAACGTAGTACAAAATAGTAAAAAATAGCACACCACGTACAAAATAGTATCAAATAGTGAGAGAGAGAGAAATGGGGTTTAACGTCCACTCGACACAAACTAGGTCATTTCGGGACTAACATATGGTTTAATTTTATTTCAATAATTCGCTTGCGCTTAGGGGTCTTTAGCAGTGGGAGGAAACCGTAGGACCCGGAGAAAACCCACTAGGTTGGACAGGCAACCCTACTCCTTGTCACGTACAACCAGGGATTCGAAACCACGCCAGTTGACTCAATGACAGGCTTTATGGTACAGCAAGCACGTGCTAACCATTCGGTCATCCAACCCATCGTATCAAATAGTACACCACGCACAAATCAGTACAAAATAGTACACCACATATAAAATAGTACACCGGGTAAAATAAAATACCCTGAGTACAAAATATCATGTCAGGTACATAAAAGTACCCTAAAGACAACTCTTTATGTAAATATTGCATAATGTATCTTTAACCGTTTTAAACCTTCAGATCCCCGACATAACATCCTTTCATCCTCATAAATTCTCTTAGACTGTGGTCAACCCCCGGGTATTTTACATTACAACTTACCGTGGAGAACCGCTTTTCCTTATCCATTTTGTTTTCAATTAAAATGTTCATATCACACTAATACTCGTAAAGTACACAAAAATAACAAACAAGTACAGATCGATCGGTATTGAAAAGCAAATCTTTAGATTGGGTCCATTTCTAATTCATTATTATAAATAATGAAGCGAAAGAATGTCATCGAATCTGAACCTGGACTGATAATCGATAAACGATCGATAGTTCATAAATAATGTGGAAGTGATTAGCTATGCTACTAGCATGATAGTTTGTTATTATATATTGAGGGGGCTTTGTTTTATCGTCTTGTAGAATAAAATCGGGTTTAACGCCCTACCTTACCTCGCCAAAAAGGCAAATGAAGACCAACATAAACCATGCAGTGTACTACGGGGTATTTTTTGTCCAGACAGTGGCGTTTATAACTATCACGCATTCTTTTACGGGTAACGTCAACGTCTATATGGTACCTTGTTCTGTCATCCCGTACGGAGTGCTAGAAGCTCTTCCTTGCTTCAGAAAACGTTTCCCGGACATAGGCGTCTCCTTCTACTCTTCATGGAATTCCAACTTTTTGTTTCGTGAACGCTTACTACCAACATCTTCAGGTTAGCAATCAAACGTTTTACTCACCCAGCCACCGTGGTGTAAACAGAGTTTTAAATCACGCATCTAACGAAACATTTCATTTTGTAGCAGAATTAGTAAAAGCTGTTTTAGTTTCGTATCTATGATATTTATTTCCATCTTGAATATAATCAATAAACGTTTGAAGAGTTTTAATATTTGAGTTGAGACAGATACAAATATTTATGTAGACATTTTCTCGGTATTGTTGATGGTTTGTAAGGTATGATCATACACGGTTTACCACTTTCATAACATGGTGAGAAGGTTTACAAACTAGGATCAGCAGGATAAAATTGGGTAGAAACATTATTAAGAGAAAACAACACACATGTAGTCTATTGCCGTAAAAGGGAATTTCAAAACTTGAAAAATAATGCAATGCAAGTAAGGACGGGTTGTTGTGTTTCGTCGATATTCTCGTGTTGGAATTCGATATAAGAGTAGGCTATAGTGCAAAATATGGCGTATGCCCGTCTTTATTAGCCCAGTAGGACGTTAAACCCCATTTGATTTCAATTTTGTCTTTATCAAGCATAATATGGGGCACAGTCCGGGAATGCAATGTACAGCCAAAACTCCACTAAGTACGGGTTGAGACTTTCCTTGGTTTTATCGGGAATACTAAGCTTGAATCCGTTCTGGCTATTGAAAATAAATTGGACATTGAATATTTCCATTAGAAGCATTGTCCTTTCCTTGGCCATGCATATTATAAATAGGTTAGACACTTCTGGTAACTATAAGCTGACATCACATTCATTGACAGATGGACCAATTTTGATAATACGACAGTTTTATTACTATAATATTGCAGAAGATCATAATCATCTGTGAATGCCGTAGCTGCCATAAGCACAAATTTCTTGGCAAGTCAATTTATAAAAAATATTTAGTTACTAATATATCTATACCTATTTTTGTTTAAAATTATGATCTTTAATCACCTCTATTATGTCCTGTAAGTGCTCATAATAATATAAACCAATTTGATGTTTTCCAACGGTCAACCTAGTCTTTGAAAGCCGTACTTGCCATAAGCATGAATTTCTTGGCAAATCAATTTCTAGAAATATAAGTTACTATCTATATCAATTGTCTATAAAATCACTAATCTTGTAATATGTTCTATAAATTATCATATAGAAGAATTTGATATTTTATCTAGAAACAGTTAAAAAAAATTTAACTTGGATTTTGAGGCGTTAAATCGTTCGGGCACTTAAACACAAAGTGTTTTTGCCATTGCCGGATATACAATGATGCAGATAAACCAAGGGCCAGGAATTGACGAGCACTAAATCTAGACAAAAAAAACAGCTATTTTGAAATATATAAAAATTGTTTTCCGTTTCAGTATTGATTTTATTGTTATAATCGCATCAACGCCTGGTAAATGTCTTAATCCAATAGAAACCCAAAAGATACATTCCCGATTTCAAGGGCTTTCCTTTTCATTGATATGTTTGGAACTGAAGATAGTTTAGTTTTATAATATTGTTTTTTTTTTTAATTTACAATGCACGAAGATTGTACGAAAGGACTTAAACGTAAAATCAACAGTTCGACCTTCACGAACAATAAAATGTTTAAAAATCAGTTACTTATCAATATCGAACTAAATCTTTTCCTCTTTGTATTTTTTAAAACAGAATTAACAATGCATGAAAACTGTACGAAACGACACAAAACTGAAAAGCCACCGTTCGACCATCGCAAACAATAACATGTTTAAAATAGGTTACTTACATAGCAGCAAGAAATTTAAACTACGCTCTGAATATCTGCCAGATCACTATTACATTGAGAGAGAGAAAAACACCCAATCTTAAGCGTTACATTGAGAGAAAAAAAACACACAGATCTTAAGAATTACAAATCCTGCCGTAATCTCCCACTATTTAAATAACCGTAAATCATATCTACCTTTCTAATGGTTACTCTGTACCTCCATTTTCCCTTTAGAACAAACTAGTAAATAAATATCTTATTTAAGCTATGGTGCTATGAATCCGATCATAAAACCAATACCGAACAATATATCGATTATCAATCGAGTATATCGCTAAACCCGGTCACTCTCCATATAGTATTGGCCCTTTATATTGCATTTCATTATAAACTTTATTCGAGCACCAATGGAAGAAGTGTTTCTTTATGTCCATGACAATATCGTGTTGTGTTCAGTATTTTGTTTGATCGCTAGTCTCATAGTGTCTTTTGTATCGTTTAAGTTCTTAAGCCTATGAATTTTGTTAGACGGCCATCGATTAATGGGGAATACTATGGCTTTCGCACGTGGCATAACAGATTAAAGGCGAACGGTCTTTCATACATGACTAGTGTGAAGATGTGAGGCGTAATGAGGACTAATGAAGTAAGAACAAAAATGTCTTATTACAGAAAGGACGAATGAAAATTGTTCAAATAAATTTCAGCAATTTGTTTTATTGATAATAAAACACGATAAAAGATCAACAATCGTCAGTTTTATTGCAATAACACCCATGGTACATAATATCTCAGAGGTTGTTAAGGAAAGGAGTAAGGTTCAGCGTCCGCGTCAACATGAATGAAATGAGATGGGTTTAACGTCCTACTTGGATATCGCTTTGGTGGAAGCGGACGTAAAATAAAGCTATTTCACACACATACACACATCCTGGGATTCTGCTCCGGCTGGGCTAATGAAACCAGGCATACACCTATACAGTGTGCTATGAGGTAACGTTTGCCCGGGCAGCGGTGCTAAAGCCTACTCATATATCGAATTCCAACGGTTGACGTGTTCACGGGACCTCGGTGTTTCGTCCAATCCTAACGACTACCCCATCAGCTAATACATCGCTGATTTGGGTATGTTTTATTTCTATGATTACTTGTGCGATGCGGTTCTGCCTATATTCTTATTTGACTCCCAGCCACCAAGAGATCTTTTACGTACACAACCAATTTGTACACGGGATCACTTTTATCGTTCTGTCCAAACGACAAGACTAATAATGGTTTAAACACGTATAATTGTCTCGGTCACCGTCTCGATTGGAATTCAGGGCTATCTTGTGTTAAACCCGATTTCATTTCATTTCCAATTTAATGGAAGCCACAGTGGTTGACTGGGTATGATCCTTGTGTTGCTCCCGGATGTTCCGTAGGATTTTTGCTTGTCAGTGATGTAGTGTTCCAGATGAAATAAGAGTGGGTCAAAACGCGTCTTCCCTGCATAGCGTCGGTCCGTTTAGCTTACCCCGACTCCGGCATGTCTTCCCCATGTCAGTGGTGCAATATGGAGGGCCTGAAAAGGGCAGAAAAAGTATTCAAATCCACTAAATATAACAGACTAACGATGTCATCGAGAGTTTCTAAATGATTTAGATAACATTTAAGGCCTAAAGACCTGCAATAGGCAGGATTAGCTCTTGCATAATGTGTAACGGATGTCTTTCCAATACAGGGCATTTGTAGGCGAAATTTGCGTAATTCGGGAATGACTTACGTTACGACCATGCGTGAATAATAAATAGTTTAGCGAATTCTATGTGGGCATTTTATTAACTATTAACCTAAATATCTATTAAAGAATAAATCAATGTCTTATATATTCATTGCCGTGAACCTTGACCAGCTGGTGTAAGGATAGTAACAATATTTGGTATGTCCACCATGGAAACCATGCTAATGACAATGATTCGATCAAGCCCTGTTCTTCAATGCGTCGTAAAACAGGCTATTAAATATGTCGACGCCCACTAGAGAATATTGAATAAAAACCAAACAAGTACACTGCATGTTGAAAAGATGTATGAAATGAAATAAACCAGGGTTTAACGTCTCATTTTTCTGCATCAACCTAGGAATGTAATAATTTTGACTCTTTATAATTGTTTTTGACGTATGCATTTTAGTACAATACAAGAACGTTTATGGAGATTGTCTGGCGCGGTCCCCACCCCACCCCCTCCCTTTGCCAGATAGAAATTGTTACATCTTCTCCCTTTTGAATCAAGCGGCTGTCTGACGAATGCTCAGAGATATGATAGTCTTGTAGCTTTGAGTTTGGACCTTCAATTATCTAATTAGTCAAATATGACGTAATTAATTATAACGACAGGTTAATTAGTCTAATGACCACCCTTACATGGATAGTGGAAACTTACACCAGAAGTTTCACACGTGTTATTTTTGTTATTAAACTAGAATTAAATGTTTACCAAATATAACTCTTTTGATGTATCAACTTATCAGTCATTCATGTGAGTGCATGAGATCTGACATCCCTACAATTCATGTATGTGAAGCCAATAAAGATGTAATATAATGATATTATTAATTTAAAGAGCAAAAATTCTGACAGAGGGCCTGGCAACGGTCAACGTATAGTCTTTCGGGTCGGAAAAACCCCTATGGTCCCGTGGACACATTGGTATGCACGTAAAAGATCACTTGGCAGTTTGAATTCGGTATAAGAGTAGGTCGTAGCCTAGTTTGTGTCGAGTGGACTTAAATTTCACATAATATGATAGCTAGACAGTTCAGTGTGTTAAAGTCAATAAGGCAATAAATTATTAGAACTGTTTAACAAACAATTAATGGAGAATTCTATTCCCGCCGTTGCCAAGTAATTCTCCACGTAAACCAAAACATGCATGCGTATTGTGCAATTATTATTATGGATATTAACGCACATGCCAAATATATCTTATATCAAATGTACCCTGTATTAAATACAGCCACTATGTTATACAATATAACAACAAAACAACAATATGTGTATATATAAATATATATTTATATACAGATAAACCAGAGGTTATGTCTATTATAAGTCCATTAATCTCTAGGTTTGGGTCTATACGCCCACTTCCCACACGAGGGAGTGGCCAGGGTAGCTCCATACGAGATTCCTTAGAAGGGCGAGTCTGGGGTTATGTCTATTATAAGTCCGTTAATATCTAGGTTTCCCTCTATAGCCTGGAGGTCGGGTGTTCGATCCCTGCATTGGCCGAGAAAGTTCATCGGAATTTTCCGGCGTGGTTCAGCCTTGTCAGTAATGTAGGATGGGGGAGCCTGACAAAGACAGCTGTCTAGTCGTTCGGATGGGACGAAAAACCGAGGTCCTGTGTACACATTGGCGTGCACTTAAAAGATCCCTTGACAGTTCGAATTCGATATAAGTGTAGGCCGTAGTGCAAAATTTCCCTCATAGCAGTAGCACACTGTATGGTGTATGCCCGTCTTCATTAGCCCAGTTCGGAGCAGAACAGTGGGACGTTAAACCCCATTTCATTTCATTTCTATACGCCCACTGCCCACATAATACGATTGAGGGGCCAGGGTAGATCCATATGAGATTGCTTTCATTCCGGATTTAAATTTATTAATAGTATTTATGTAATCAATGTGTTTCTATGTATATTAGAATTTATCAGATGAGACTATAAAATGTGTTAGGTATTCAGTATGTGGGACGTAATTAGGAGAGCCCCCAGGTTTCTTATGATATTGATGCATGTCAGATTGTAATATCCAGGATTATGATCCTTTATTGTTTTAATACATCTCTTCCAAAATGTGGGCGTATCTTGCAGGGCAACCGATTGTTGTATTATTTTTAGTGAAATGGTGTATTAATACAAATACTAACCTCCTGTCAAGATGCACATACAGATACACACTCCCCGAAACGCATATACACATACAGCAACACCCGTCCCTCCTCGCCACCCACATACAGCAACACCCCTCCCCGCCAATAACACACAACTACCCCCCCCTTTCCGCCTTCCACATACAGTTACACCCCTCCCCGCCACCCACATACAGCAACACCCCTCCCCGCCAATAACACACAACTACACCCCTCCCCGCCACGCACATACACATACAGCAACACCCCTCGACACCACCCACATACAGCAACACCCCTCCCCGCTAATAACAAACAGCTACACCTCTCCCCGCCACCCACATACAGTCACCCACATGTACCAGTAAGTCAACTATAATGACAATGAAGCTACCAGTTCAATTAGGTTACCGTATAAGAGCAACTAGGTCAAAATACTAGAATTAATTCCGGAATGTTTGTTATTGAATATGTCATTATGTAGCAATATGTTTTATTAATTTATAAGAAATATCCATGTCCAAACGTACTGAAAGTAAAAAATAACGCCCACTTTCACACAAATACAACTTTTCTTACCTGATAGACTACCAATAGATGGGTATTATTTAAGAGTTATACTGTTAGAATTTCTAAATTAATATGCATAATCAACAATTAGTATTATTAAGGTTGATTACAATTCAGTTCAAAGGTGCCTTCCCGAGTACAAACCGTGTGATTTGATGATATAATTCAGAATAAAAACATAATTAAAACTAATCTATCTATCAAACATTTGCTTCAAATACCGCTCACAGTATTCTTATGGAAAAAAAAACTACCCCGTGACGTGAGAGTCAGTCATGTTTGTCACCTGACTTGTTTAGGGGAGATCCAATCACCAGATTGTGTATGTCGTTAGTCGCTGTCCCATTTAACGTAAATTCCTGAAATATCCTCTACAAATTCTTTTTCGACAATTTAACCGCTGAGTCTACTGGATGTTTAATTCTCTTTCATTAGAGATACTCGCATATTTTTGTCTTGTGCGCGCCCCATGGTGTTTTGAGGGAATTCAATATCTTTCTAGTAAGATTGGGTGTTTACTTTTCATACCAAATTTGCCATACCTTTATTACCCTGTCTTTATTAGCCCAGCCGTGCAGAAAAGTGGGTAGTTAAACCTAAATCCATTTCATCTTTTATTGGGAATAAATACCCGATAAATACTTTCGTGGGAATTCCTCTTTAAATTTAAACCTCTGAACACATACTACTTATAGCTGTACATTATAAAAGACCTTTGACGAACATTTCTTCCAGACTAGATAATTTCTTATCAGTTTTTTTTTTCAAAATATATCTTCTAATCAATGATATCATTCTGTATCTACATATAATATCCCGTGAAATAACGGACTTTAGCAATCAGGATGTAGGCTCATATCACAGTGACGATAC